CCGAACCGGCCAGACGTGCAGGTATAGGGGGAGGGGTCAGTGGAGGGGTTGGCTATTCCTACCTGAACCTGTCCGACCTGCAGTTATGTGGGGGAGGGTGAGGGTGCCTTTTGACGTTTAGCGGTGCAGAGCTCGACATCTAGTTTAAAATGTCGCGACAGCCTGTGAGCATTGCAGTGCATATTGGAGATACCAGACACAGCTACTAGCCCACTCGCTGGAAGGCTGACTTTAGCACGGGCACGGAATTCTCCTCCAGTGCCACGTGGCTCCGGGTGTCTGCTCCAGCCTCCGCCACGTGGCACCAGCCTCCCACCTCCCATCTGACCTCCGAGACCACACTGACCACTGTCCGTGGGAGTTATAACAGGCCACTGCCGCGCTGGCACGCCCCCTGACCTCAGCGGTATGCGGTTTGCACATTCTGTGGCTGCCGTTACTGACGGTATATGACCTTCACTGTACTCCGGCATAGGTCTAGACTCACGAATTGCCGATCAGGGTTCCTATGACCTTATGAACAGAACGGTTTTTCTATGGTGGAGATTCTTGTTGGTATCTCCATTGTCCATGGCCTCTGTGAGACATTTATGTTCCATCGTTTTGCCTATATTTATCCTTTACCTCTGTATGTCCTGCATGGCTGTATTCTCGTGCGTAACCTGCCTGTGTGTGTTTCCTTCGCCTCTGTTCTGGCCCTCGCTGGTCCTCTGCATGATCCATACCGCCTCCCTGTGACCCCTCAGTGACCCTCTGGTGCCCGCTGTGCCCCTCAGGAGATCGACATCGGCTCGGTGACCGAGCGACTGGAGTTCCGACGGCGGATGAAGTGCAAACCGTTCAAGTGGTACCTGGATAACGTTCTGCCACAGAAGTTCATCCCAGACGAGAACGTGCAGGCCTACGGGCGGGTGAGTGAGAGTCTGAAATTGTCAGTCAACGTGATCAGTCACTACTCAGTTCAAGATGAATCAGTTAAGCTTTTGCGATAAAGGCTTAGTCACTTCGGAAATATGTTCTTCCAGTGACACGTTACTACCTTCGATTGAGATAGCGTTTGCTCTTGTATCCTGTAGGCGGAATATTTTGCTTAGTCTACATTCGCCAGATATTGGAGCGCTGAGCTGCACAAAGGGTAGGTATCATTGCTATTCACGGTCGTGAGTGACCTTTGCTATTTTTGCTGCACTGGCTGGCTGTGTTGCAGTGGTTCCGGTCCGCTCTGTGCCATGTACATACCATGATTCACCAGCGGCCTATGTTGAGGTCGGGTGCTGTGTTTGTCGTGTCAGTGTGTACCCCCCCCCCCCCCCCCGCCCTGACACCGTCTCCGACTGACGCCGGCGCGCGGCAGGTCACCTCTGTTATAGCGCCCCTGTGTCTGGACAATCTGGACAGGGAGAATGACAACGGCGACGCCTACCCCCTGGGCCTGTACGACTGTGTCAACGCCCCCTGGCGCAACGAGGTACCCCCGCCCCCCGCCCCCGCCCCCATAGACAGGGCACGGCACGGGGCGCACGGACGGACACGGCACGGCACGGACACGGCTGCACCCCTCTCTCCGCTCCCGTTACGCCCCTCTGCCTGTGGACTGGCCCCCCTCTTCTCTGGTCTACTGTCCCCTCTACCCACCGACGAACAGCGGAGTGAGATATCCACCCCTGGTGACACGGACATTGAATGTGGACGCAACCAAGGACTTTTGGGGACCTTGCACCACACCCGGACATTCTGGTGACCTTCCAGACTCTTACGCACCCTGGTGACCTTGGACGACCCCTGGTGACCCCGGGTGACCTCTCTCCCTCACTCTGGGCCTGTCACAGGTGGCGAGTAACAAAACGACGCCGCGCCTGTGTCTGGACATGCTGCAGAGGAACGAAGACTCGCCGTACAACCTGGGGGTCTACGTGTGCCACAACTACGTGGCCGCCTCCCAGGTGGCTGACACACCCTCCCGCTCTCACGGCGCACTCCTACACCCTCCCACCCGCTCTCACGGCGCACGTCCTTCTGTCTGGTCTCATCCGTTTGGTACTGCACATTGGCGTGTTGGGAATGTTTCACATCACGCATGGTTGGGCTATGGTTCCTGGCTGGATGGCACGAAGGATGCACTGCTCAGCAGGATGTAATGGTGGTATGATTTGAGGCATTCTGTTGGTTATGCTGATCGCTGAAACCATCTGTCTGATTATTTTAGCTTCTGGTCACTTCGTTTTGCTATCATGTTTTGTCCCAAATGTACATCGCCAACTTGCCAAACAAAATACAGCTCACTTACTTTCAGCTAAGAAGTAAAAACTCGTACTCTATTGGCTTGTTACGTCTCTCCCATTCCGCTGCTTCCCGCTCTGACCCTTGCTGTGTCGGCCGCCGTCAGATGTTCTCTCTGAGTAACAAGGGCCAGCTGCGGCGCGAGGAGGTGTGTGCCACCGTCCAGCGGCGCTCCTCGCTGGTGATGATGACCCGCTGTACCAGCGGCGGCAGGGACCAGATCTGGACACTCGACCCGGTGAGAAGGCAGGCTGGGCTCGGTCGGCGGAGGGGGCAGGCTGGGCTCGGTCGGCGGAGGGGGCAGGCTGGGCTCGGTCGGCGGAGACGGCTGGGCTCGGTCGGGGGAGGGGGCTGGGTCTGGGTCGGCGGAGAGGGCTGGCTGGGGCTGGTGAGAAGGGTCTGTGTGCCGGATCGCAATGGGTTTGACGATTTTGTCTTGCAGTGGGCTTGTGCTTTCTAACCAGGGAAAAAATGGTAAAAGCGTAGACTTTTTGTACAGATAGTGTACAGTGGTCTGTGGTAAGATATATAATACGGTCAGCTGCAATAATTTTATCTGTCGCATTGAACCTTCTGGCTGTGGTAATTAAGCATTTCACCCGTCATTTCGCTTGTAAATGCTCTATTCAGTGTGTCTATGTAAGCTCCCTCAGTGACCTGACCCCGCGCCGGGTGTGCCCCCCTCCTCCCCAGCGCGGCTACCTGCGACACGAGAGCACCGGTCTGTGTCTGGACCGAGAGGGCCTCAACTCGGGGGACGACGTGATGGCTACCACGTGCACCGGCCGGCTGGGACAGGTGTGGTACTTTGACACCGGCCGGACCGTGTGATAGGGACGACTCTAGACACCGCCACACCGCCGCCTCTGCCGCTGCCGCCGCTGCTGCTTCTGAAGGTTCCTTCGTTACCGCCACTCAGTGTGAAGACTCTATGGATTATCTGGGAAGATTGGCAGCCAGTTACCGCAGGTGTGCAGCGGAGTAGTGTGGTGGGTGGCGGGTGGGACTGCTCGCAGTACGCGGCCCGGTGATAAGCGGTGAACGGTGTGTGATGAAGTGACTGCGTGGTGAGGACTAGGAGCGGTGCTGTGTGGAGAGGTGGACCGCCCGGTTGGGAGGTTGCACCGAGCAATGGAGGTCGGTGAAGAGCGTGCATCGAGGCAGAACGGGGTCCCTACAGTGCCTGTGCCTATGGCGGGCGGGAGCGGCTGTCTGCTAACCCGTCCGTCTGTGTTATGGAATCTGCTCACCTGAGAGCAGACTGCTCAGACCGGTCTGGGCCTACCCGCCGGACTGGACTGTCTGGTGTCAGTCCAAACAAATTGAACAGACCGACCCAGGCTTAACTCCTCTGGAAGGTATGATTCAACTCAACCTCGTCAGTGTGCCTCTGTCGGTGACGACCGGGGCGCCCAGCTCATCTCGACGACAATAACTCAGTATACCCAGCCTCATCTTCAGTACTGGACAACCCCCAGACCCTCCTGCCTTGTGATGTCCTCTGAAGCCAGCTCCTCGGCAAGTAGGTGGGACAGGTGCTACCTGGGCCATACCCCGGCTGGAGCCAGGGTCCGGTCGCCGCCGCCAGTGCCTCTCAGAGAACCGCGCTGACCAGTCTGCTGAGTGAGGAGTGTGGGAGTGTGACTGGAGTGCTCCGAGTTTACAATGAGTTAGATGAGCGAGTTCTCGACGTAAGTGCTCTGAGTTTCCTGAGTCCGTGTGTGTGTGTGTGTGGAGAGAGTTGACGAGAAGTTGTGACGTGGCAGGACCTGAGTATGCAGAACATCGCGATGCGCGAGAGTTCTTATTGGTGGAAGGAGGAACTTAGATCGAAGCCAGCGTGGCTTTAGGTCTGTGATTGATACAATTGGCTATTATATCAGCTGATAATGGTGGCTATCAGCCGCCGGACTTGTATCTAATATCTCTGGGCTGAGAGTAGTCGGCCCAAGCAATAAGGGGATGAATAAGACAGGATATAATTGTTATCAGTGATCGTGCACGCATTCGAGGAAACACGAGCGCCGTAGAATCATCTGATGAGCTTGTGTGGAGTCCCGAGTGACCCATTAGGCCCATAGTGACCCTAATTGACCCTTAAATGACGCGAATCCTGCCGGGGCTGAACCTGATGTGGTCTCGATATCTCTGTTGCATATTATCCGTGTGGAACGCTTTCCGCATTCCCGATCACATACTATGTAAGACAAGCGCCGGATGAAGTTGGTCCAGGAAATACCGATTGGATGTTCGTGGAATTACAATGAACTCCTGGAACCAGTTTGCATGCTACTATTGGCTGGGCCCGCACTGAATTGATTTCGCTTGTCCCGCGTGGTTTCGCGATGTTTTGGGGAGGACTCGAATGACGCTACCGATAGCGTGTGGCGTGTCCTGTATGTCCCCCTGGGCCCCTGGCAGCTGCGTGGCGGTCTGCTGTGTTATTTATGGCCTCGAGACGGGCCGAGGGACTGAGATCGAGCAGCCGGACTGCAGTGAACTCACGAATGGGGCGTCTGTGAGCGACTCTGCGCGTTTGCGGGACCGCCGCGCCCGGCAGTGATATAGGGTCACTAGGGCGGTGTTTCATTCCTAGCACGTGTCACATATCGACTGAGAGCCGTCCAGAGGCAGTTACCGCCGGCAGGGCGGACCGCCGCGTCCGGCACCTACTCACCGTGGCCGTATTTTTCTATGGAGAGAGAGACAGAATACATCAGTTTGTAGGAGAATACAGTGTATATTGATAATTTGAGTCATCGAGCGAGTCGCGTGTTCCATGAGCGAGACGTGGAGCAAAAAGCTGGCACAGATGTACGGCGAACAGAAGACCGCGTAGAGCGAGGACAACCCCGGCTATGTACAGAACAATACACGGTGCTGCGGGGCGCGCGACCAACAAAACACGTCACACGGGAATGCTATATCCAGAATCCAGAGCCCGCCATCGCAGGGCCCGTCGGCCCCGACAACGCCTCCAGAAGCACACATACAGAGGCGACGCTATTTCCAAACACACGCACACAGAGAACAAAAACGCACACGCACATTCACTCACACTTCGAGCATCCAGACGCAGTGCGGCTGGCAGGCAGTCTCCACACACGTCCTGTACAACGCCGAACCGGACACCAATTGATCAACCTAGCACTGTCGGCGGGAACGGTCGGCCGGGCGCGTCTCCCGACCTCTGAGTGTCCGGCGGTCCGGCCTCACTCGTTGTCAGAGCCGTCCGCCTCGTCACTCTCCCCCTCCCCATCCTCCTCCATTTTCTCATCAGCCTCCTCCGCCTTCTCCGCCGACTGATCTCCCTCTCCCTTCTCCTCACCCTCCTTGTTGTCCCCCTCCTTCTCCTCCTCATCCTCGGACTGGAGCTCGACCGTGTTGTCGGCGGTGGCCGGCTCGCTGTCGCTCAGCTCCACTACGCTCGGGTTACGCCGCCTCTCGCCGGCGGCCCGCTCGGCTCTCCGTCGCTCCGCCACCGAGCGCGGCGCCAGCCGGGCGCGCCGGCGCCGGCGCGCGCTCGCCGGACCCATGAACGGCTTGGGTTTGCGCACGGTCACCAGCCGGCGGGGCCGCGCCGCCGCGATCGGGGTGATGGTGATCTCCTTGTTCAGTTTGCTGAGCGCGCTGCCGCCGGAGGCGGAGGAGGCGCCGCCGGCCGCGCCCTCCTCTGTGTCGCTCACCTCCACCTCCACCTCGCTGTCCGACTCCTCGGCGGCGGCGGCGGCGCGCCGGCGCAGCTGCTCGCGGATCTCCTCCGTGACAAACGCGGCGCACTCGGGGTCGCGCAGCAGCGGCGTGAATTCGACCTCTGGCCGGCCCAGGTGGTGGCGCCGGTAGTGCTCGGTCAGAGGCCGCGGCAGCGCGCGGTGCTCGCAGAGCTCACACTCGCGCTCCACGGGCGCCGGCGCCGGCTCCGGTCGCCGCCGCTTCACCGGCATCGAGCTGGCCTGGGGCGCGCCCTTCCCCGCGCCGCCCGAGCCAGGGTGAGGTATGATGGTAATCTCGTCGTTTATTTTGATGGGCTGCCCGGTGGCGGCGGCGGCGGCGGCTGCCTTCTTGCGGTCGGACGATTCCATTATTTTCTTGGCGACGACCGAGTGTGAGCTATACACGTGGTTTTCAAACTGTTTATACATGCTGAACGTGGCCGTGCAGACGGTGCACTTGTAGGAGAGGTGTGCCGGCTTCAGGGTCACGTGGTGGTCCTTGGAGACGTGGTGCAGCAGCTTCCACTGGTACACCTGACGAGCGCAGAGAGAAACTCGTCACGGAAAAATCCGAAGTAAAGGGAGACGAAAAAAGCGATATAAACCGGCCATTAAAAATAACGTTCATCACCATGCACATTATACACCACCCAGCTTCGCACATCCACGACAAAATCATGAATGGCCATGATCCACTAACCACTGACGAGTGCGTATTTCGAGCCTGCCCCTCCCCGGCCTTCACATGTCTTTCCTTCGGCCCTTCTTCTCCCTCCCCCTCCCCCTCCCCACATCCCTATCCTCTACCCTACAACCTCCCGTACCTTTCCGCAGATGGGGCACCGGCCGCTGTCGTGTCCCTTGTTGGCCGCCTCCTGCATGCTGCTGGTGACCAGCCCGTGCGAGCCGAGCAGGTGCCGCTCCAGGCCCTGGTCCGTGAAGAAGCGCAGCTGACACTTTTGGCAGTTGAGCGGCGGCCGGTTGTAGATCATCTTCGGGTGAATCTTCACCTTGTGGATCCACTGCATGTGGTTACGCAGCTGCTCCAGATCCTGAGGACGGGAGAGGGGGTCAGTCACGGACAAAATATCACACTCATTTAAATCGTGCATTATTTCACTTCGATTTGTATACTTTACGTAGCTAGCTTTGAAAACGAGCGTGCGCACAAGATGACAAAGGGAATATGCTCAAATATCTGATCCACCAATGAACAAACGAACATTACATTACTTTTTCAGTTCCCGAAAACCGACAACGCATAGCAACAGACCTGCGATTACCCCATCAGGAAGCCCATGACTGCTTCTACATCAATTTTTCAGTTCCGTACCTTGATGTAGCCGTCGCAGATCTCGCAGATGACGAAGGCGCCCTTGCTGAGCGCGGCCGGGTCGGGCCGTGCGCCGCCCACGGTGCCCTTTGTGATGGAGAGCTGGGAGCCGGGCGCGGCGGGCGACGTGCGCAGGATGGACGGCACGCTGGGCGGCAGGCTGGGCCGCGGCACCGGCGTGATGCTGATACTCGGCGTGGAGGAGAGCTTCAGCGCCGCCGCCGCCACCGTCTGAGGGGAGGGGGGGGGAGAGGGTTAGGCTCAGCATAGATGGCGGGTAAGCGTAGGTTGGTGCCGGTTAGAGGTCGAACCACACCGGCTATTCAAACCCTTATAGCGACAGAACAAAGAGAAGGTTATGTCCTTCATTGGTTCTCCTTTTCCGTCTATTACGCGATGCAGTTTTCCGTTGTAAGTCACGTAGTAAAGGTGATGGATATAAATCATGATCAGCTTACGATTCAAGCAAATGACTGGAAGCCGCCACAGCTCGTATAGATGTCGCCCCGGTTCCCCCGTCGCCACCGTTCTCCCTTCCTCAGCCAGTGACCCACCTTGGCCGACGACGTGGCCTGGATGCTGAGCCCGGACGGCGCCGGCGGACCTGACGACGGGATGATCTGTACACCCGAGCCGCCGCCGCTGCTGGCAGCGCGCGTCGCCGGGTTCACCGGTACCAGCTGGTTGTTCACCAGCTGAGACAGAGGACCACATCGCTGGGTTAGGTAACCGAACAGCGGCGGAATGTCGAGAACGAGCGACTATGAACACAAGTCACTTCACAGAACAGTACTATACCGAACGATGGACATTGGTGCCACCCGACAAAAAAACTTCGCTAAACTGGTATCGTTATCAACTGCTTGACTTAATCGGAGACGTTCACATTCGCGGCTGAGCCGGGAAAAAATAAGGCAGCTGTCGAGACGGTCCTCCGTTTTTATCATTCGATTCAGTCGCGGAGACCCACATCCCAAACCAACACCACCTACATGTACACCCCCAAGTCTAACAAAACCACTAGGCACACCCACCCATCACATAAAACCTGGTCATTATCAAATACACGTGAGCTACCCCGCCACACAGGGCTCAGCCCGAGTGCCCTCTACGTCCGTCGCGGTGTGCCGTACCTGATAGATCTGGTTGCCAATCTGGTAGTGGGGAGGCATCAGCATCTGGCCGCCAGAGGCCGGTGGCCGGATCATGGACGAATTCATGCCCGGGTTCACGCTCGTGACGAAGCCTGGGAGACGAGAGACGTTATAGAGAGACGGCACGGTGCGGACACGGGGAGGAAGTCACGGAGCGACACGGAGGGCCAAGTACCAAACAGCATCAGTGCAATGACTGACGACCCGCAGTGGAACTATGAGCTGGATACGACGGCCAAAATGAACACCTCCATTCTTCAAATATTTCAAAAGATATATGTTATCAAGAGCCCATTGAAGTCGTTCCCGGACTTTCCAGTCCACCACCTGACTACACAAATCAGATGTGTAAAGGAAATTGTTAGGCGTACAGACAACGCTCGGGCTCCGACACCAAGCTACAACTGAGTGAACACATGGGAGGACCTGAAGGGATCCCCGGACAGGCCATAGAGTTACACGCCGCTGATGGGAACTCACCGGCCTGCCGGTTGTACTGGTGCCGCTGCTGCAGTGACAGCGGCACGCCGTCCTTGTACGAGCCCACCGGACGGCCGCGCCGAGCGCTGGCCGCTATCGCCGCCGCCGCCGCCAGCTGCTGCTGCTGCTGTTGCTGTTGCTGCTGCTGCTGCTGCTGCATAGCCAGTTTGGTGCTCTGCTGGATGCCCCGCACCGGCTCGAACTGTTTACCGAGCACATTGGGCCGCCCGCGGTGGATCTTGGGCACCTTAGCCGGCGGCACCCAGTCGTCCAGAGACTGGTTCTTCTCGATACGGAACTTCTTCTGGCACGAGTTGAGATGGCGCGTCATGCGCGTCTTTCCCGAGTCCTCGTACGGGCAGAGCGGACACTGGAAGGAGGCCGGCGCGCGCTCCAGCCGGCCCTGCACGCTGTGCTCGTCCATCATATGTGAGAGCACCACCTGCGGCGAGCGCGTCTCGTAGTCGCAGAAGTTGCACTGGTAGATGCTGCCCACCATGTGCGGCATCTCCAGGTGGCGCTCCATCACCAGCACCGACTCGGTCTCGAACGCGCAGTAGCGGCACTGCGTCATCTTCAGCCGGAACGGCGCGTTCCGGCGCCGAGACGCCGCCAGGTTGGCCGTCAGAGACTTGATGGCGAACCGGGTGGCCTCGCTGCCGCCGCCCTTCTCGCGCGACGCCTTGCGCTTCTGCTGCTTCAGCAGGTCCTCCTTGATGAACTCCTCGACGATGCCGCGGCCCTGGTCGAGCAGCAGCTGGCCCACGGGGCCCTGGTAGTAGTAGGCCCACTTGCCCAGGTGGCTGAAGTCCTCCTCCCGCCGCAGCGGGTCCGGCTTGTTCTCCTTGTTCGGATCCTGCTCCTTGTCGCCGGTACCCTCCTCCTCCTTCTTGGACTGGTCGTCGCTGCCCGCCTCGCTCTCCGGTTTGCTGGCGTCGCCGTTCACCTTGCCATCCCCGCCGTCCTTTTTGTCCTTCTCCGCCGCCGCTGCGTCGGCCTCTTTGGTGACCCGCGTCATGAACTGTTTGACCGTCTCCTCGGGCGGGCTCTCCATGACGTACGGCACTATGAAGCTGGGCGCCTCCAGCACAAACTCCGTGTCGTCGTGCGAGCGCCGGTAGTAGTCCTGCAGCTGCGAGAGGTGGTCGGCGGACATGCCGGACGTGTTGATGCCGTACTGCGCCAGCGCCTGCAGCACGGCCGGGTTGATGGTCACCGCGCCCGGGATGTGCTGCTGCGGCTGCTGGAGGTGGTAGGTGGGCTGCTGGTGCGGCGGCGGCGGCGCGCGAGTCAGCTGCGGCGGCCGCGGCGCGGCGGAGGCGGCGGCGGCGGCGGCCACCGCCGACCGGCCGCCGTCCGTGTCGATCACCACGAGACGGGGCGAGTCGCGCGCCGCCGCGTCCCGGCCGTCCGCGGCCGGCGCGTCCGGCTCGATCTCCTCGATGTCCGAGTCGCTCGACTCTGGCTCAGTGCAGGCCGCCGAGCTGGGGCCGTCCGCCTCGCTCGGAGCCGCCGACGCCTTGTCCGCGGCCGGCTTCGAGTCCTCGGACATCTCACCGTTCGCCGAGTCTTTGGTATCGCCATCGGCGGCGTCCACCGCACTCGCCGGTTTGGAATCGTCACCCTTCTCCGCATCACCAGCGTCCTTCGAGTCACCATCTCCCTCCTTATCACCAGCACCACTCTTATCACCATTCTCGGCACCGTCCGCACCAGCGGCCTTCTTTTCACCATCAGCCGCGCTCGGCTCCGCCACACCGTCCTCTGTTTTATCAGCACTGACATCAGCGTTCTGATCACTCTCAGCGGGAGTCGAGTCCACCTCGTCCTCTGCATGGCCAGAGACGTCCCCGTTCTCCTCAGTCTCCATGGCCTCGGCGGGCGGCGGGTCCGACTTCTTCACCGGGACGGCGTCCTCAGTCTCCATTGGCTCCGGCGCGCCGCCGTCTTTGGCGACATCTGAAACAAGGGAAAACGGGGGTTAGACGGTGCACTGGAGAACGGAGTTCGTCAGTGACAGAGGTGACTCAGTGAATACACAGAAACATAGCCCGGCACGGCTCCGGATCTTCACGCTAAAACTTTAGGGCATGTATGCCGGTGATAAACCGAATGATATTAATCATCAGCATAGGTTTATTGAAATGAGGTTCATGTGCTAATCCAGTTTGGCGCTCACAACCAGTTATTTGATGCGGCGCAGCTAAAACAATAACTTGGGACAGCCCGATGCATCGACGGTTCGGCAGCCGCTTTCTATTGCGTCCCACACCACCAGACAGTCTGTGGTTCGGTGACACTGATCCAACCCGGTGGCAAGGATATTATCGTGCCTAATAAAGAATGGCTGTATGATTTCACAGCGAAACCGGCAGTGGCACTGGTGCGCGACAGTGAAGCAGACACATAGCAGACTTTCCATTCTCGTACTGCAGTGATTTCACTAGACCACAATCAACGAGTATGTTGTCTGATAAAGATATCGTTATCGATCCGCGTGTCACTATCACAAAACCAACGAATCGCCTCCCCGAAAATGGCTAAGCAGCTGGACTGACCAAGCAGAAACGCCAAAAACGCGCCCCTCTTCAGTAACTCTCATGCATTCAGCATGGCATCAGCGATGCGATACCCTAAAACTGGCATGCAGCATTTAGAACAGTGATTAAAGCGCTGCATCCATACGGGGCGGGCAGCCAAACGGCAAAGTTGACTACCCCAACCGGCAAAACGACCCGAATCTTCAGAGGTTATCGCTGAGCCAGTGTATCGGCTAATCAACCGATTTCCTTATCTCGTAGGTCGATACGCTGTTCCGTGTTCACGCAGCCCCGTTCATTTTTCCCGTTATTTGTCCCAATGTGCACTTCGCTGGTGTTCTATCATTGCGCTCTCATCTCCGTTCATTCGGCGAGTCACTTCGTTCCCATTTTTCGTTCATCTCGTGTTCGTCACGTCACGTGACTCGGCAGTTGGGCGGTGAGCGTCACGGCCGGCCTACAGCTGGGACGGCAGCGGCGTGACGCACCGCGTGACGGGCGGCGGGAAAACAGCGCTCGGCACACTCACGAACACACCAATCTGACACTGTAACGCATAGTCTGGCAGTACATACAATGCATAGAGGCTGATCGTTCAGAATACACAAAATTATTCACCGTATATCCGAAATCGGTCAATGGGGAGCATGCCTTTGACGTTAGGCACTGTGGCTCTTCCTGTCTTGGTCGGATGTTCATCGGCCCCGCAGATATTTAGATACAAACACCGCAGCGGTGGCATACTATACATGTTCTTCCTGCACGGTTTCGAGACCGAAGTTGTAATACTCGTATTCCTCATCAAACATCCGGTCGAGTTTCCAGAGAACTGTCAGACTTAACAATTAAAATAAAACAACCTTTCGCGGATGGTGCTTGCTTCCGGGATAATACAAGTAGGACTGTTTCAACTTATTAGTGCATTACCGGTCCATTTTAATGAAGAGCAATATGTAATCCGAATTTATCGATACCTACTTGCAGTGAATTACTGCACCTCCCGATCATAGGAAGTATACTATCCCAGCTACATCAATCCCATTTTAAGTAGCGGCTTTGCTCGGTGATGAATGGACAGCACGCACACCATTTCTATTCACACAGGTACCGGTAGAAGCAAGGTACGAGCTCGCACTAATACTGTATCGACAAATGAGAGTGAAATACAAACGATATACTACTTGACTTCTTACATTTATCATCGGGTCGACGGGTACCGAACAAAAATCAGGCCGCAATGGGACTGACTGGTGTTTCTGCCATCGAGGGAAAGCTATCCACGCTGGAATGGACCGAAGAGCGCCAGTTTACGCTATCAATGGCGGCGGAACACCTTCAATTAAGGGGACACTGCCGACTTTTGGTCCCATTCTTTCCATGCAACGCCCATAGGGCTAATGTTAAAGTGTCAAAATCAAAGGGGGACACGGTGCCCCCCTCGTTCCGTTCCGCCGCCTATGTAGGCGATGAAGTTGCGAGGCATTGTTCATCGTACAATGCTTTCGGGCCGCCTTGCCATCTGCGTTTCTTACACGTAGTAGGTACCGTAACCGGAATCGGACTGGGTTTAGACCATTTTTCAAAGCTGTGATGAGAGTATCGCCAGCTGTCACTGTATCGCTAAGGTGTTACATAAGGACACCGAGCCAGAGAAAACAGGAAACAGGTTTGTGCGAAAACCGTGATGCTCAGCTTTTCGGCAGAGGAGCCATCTAAAACTTCCACGTTGTGGTATGCGGGTAGGCTCAGTTAAAGGAAAAGGGCCACCTTCGTGAAATATGAAGATATCGTTGTTTTTCATTTTGACATCATTATTTTTCATTTACTTTTTGAAACTGGTGCCAGAAGTGCACAATTCGCGAAAAAGTATTTAAAACTATTTAACATATTGGTACTATGTTGATACTCTCTACGGCACCTACTGTATGATGGCATAGCGATGACGTCACACTCAAGCCAATCAGCGTTCAGAAGACAGACTCGTCGGATTGTGTCAGATAAGCTGATTGGTTAAAGCTGAGCTGGTTGGAGCTGATTGGTAAAAAACCAAAGCCTCGCCGCGGGTGGCTGTATTGTCGGATAAGAACGCATTCCTGGGATAAGGACGCATTCCTGGCGTATTTTCTTTTAAAATTGCCGATAACTACGAATGGAGGCCGAAATCGGCCGTAAGGAGGAAAACAGACAGGTTTTCGGACACGGGCTACAAGATGGCTATCTCAGTTTCAATCCCCATGTTAAAGGTGGCCCTTTTCCTTTAACTATTGATATCAGCAGTCCAATAGGTGTCGAACAACGACAAAAGCGGATTTTTTTCTTTCTAAAATCCCTACCGCTAGCTTTCATGGTTACGAATGTTTGTTGACAAGTAGTTCTATCACTACGGGATGAAAATGGAGCCTATCTTTCGAGCTACCTTTCATAGCCATGCGTAAATCGAACAAAAAGTTTTGACGCTACTTTCTAAGCTAGTCGAAACTAGCCGCAAAAGTAGGCGCTCTAGCCTCTAACACATAACCATAAGCACGAGCATAGCACGTGGCATAACACCACCCCATCCCCCATAACAGCCACATTACTTATGCATTGTCCAATTTGTCAATAAGGAGCCCGTTCCAAAAATAGCATCACCCCTCCGATTTCCACACGGTACAAAAAGTCGGCCGCCGAACACCGTTGCCAGGGCAACGCACCCGCCGGCACAGTCAGCTGACTAATCCACTACGTCATCAGAGTATGACGTCACTAATGCCGGCAGACACCGCCAGGCGGCGCTGGGGTCCTCATTCACGAGTGAGCTGGGAATATCGATACTCGTTATACGGGCAGGAGGCGCGAGCGTCCGCCGCGCCGCCCCCCCCCCCCCCCCTAAACCCCCCTCGGCGACCTAACAAAGAACCCGACGGTCGGTTCTATATCGCAACCAGTTCTCCGCAGGAAGGAAAGGGAGGGTCGGTGCCTCGGGCGAAATCGTCGCGCGGTTACGTCCCAGGGTTGGCTCGGCGTACAGAGGCAGAGTGGAGAGAGTGGAGAGAGGGGAGGAGCGGGGAGGCTCAGGGCCGCCATTTTGTTAACATGGCCGCGGGGTGGAACAGAGCTGGTCGATAGAAAGGGAACCCATCCATGGAACCCCATACGCACATCGGGGACGGTCAAAAATACGTGAAATGGGGAACGATGCAATGCATTTCGTACCATTAAAGACACAAGTCTGTATGACACAGCAGTTATCGCTTCAGACCCCGGCTGTTGACAGCCAACATGGCGGTAGAAATCCCGTACCCAAATAACGGCGTGTTTTGTACCCGCGGACCGGCAATGCCCTGACATCCCACGGTAGCCGCATTCCGTGGGCAGGTCGGGCCGGGGAGAGGGGGTCGCCGGCCGGCGAATCGGGCCCGCCCGCGCCTCATACCAGACCACAGACACCCAACGTAACCGCAGCGAGACGGGTCGGGGCGCCGAGATACTAGATAGAGTGCTCATAGGTGATGGAACAGAACTGGCGACTAAGCTACCGAAACTCCTCTGTTACTCGGTGTTCGCGACTCGAGCGGACGAAGGACGGTGAACGGGTGATACGGGAAGAAGCATAAGACAAGTTTGCTTGGCGACGTCAGTTCCAGAAATTACGTGCTTCTTTTAGCCTGCTCACTTACTAAATGAAACATAATGAGATATATTGCGCTATAAGACATGGGGAGGGGTGGTTCGGTCATACCACACCACGTAGATCGGTTGGAAATCAGGCGTTTCGGTTATCGGGCGAACATTTCTTTTAAACTCCTGGCCATGTATTGGCGAATGTGAACAGTGAATACGGACACAACCACGCTATGCAACATGTGCTCTCGCAAATATTTGACGGTAGAGCCGATAAATTTACGTTCCATGCTGATCGACATATTCAGGATAGATATTCAGGTTCGTTCTTCGAACCATTTCCCAAAAGCAGTGTCTCGAATTTACAGCACAGCTTCTAGACAATGAAAACATCGACAAGTTGTCGCAAATACGCCTTTTTCGCGTCTGTCCTCCTCGGGTGCGTCTATCGAAACGGGATACGCTTCCGGAAATTGCGACTAATTACAGGTGCGTGAAAAGAATGCCACTGATATTCACCGTTCAGAGTTTACTGCAATGAGATTTGAGAAACATATTTTAATTGAAATTATTTTTCCACTATCTTGACAAAATGCTTACAATTATTATTCTAAAGCTATAGATTAAGGCTCTCAAATCACTCAATGAAAAACTTAGCAGTCTTACCAATGGGTTTCAGACAGGACTGCATGAGCTGATGTGAAGGCTATGTGAGGACAGCATGGGGTTAAAAGATGAACTTAACTGTAGGTACTAAGAAGTAAGGTTCATGCTCTCACAATGCTGGGCAGTGTGATTATATTGAAACTGTGGAGATCAAGACCAGTCTAGGGTCAGAAAAAAAAAACTTATAATCCTGCATTGCATGCCCATCTAGATAACCACTATCAGTCTTGCAGGGGTCACCTCAGTACCTTAGCTGTCCTTTATGCACCAGCATTACCAACAAATAGCATTACCTATTTGGTGCTGTCCAAATACATAATGCTCCATGCTCTCAGCACCTTAAATGTAACAGGATGCATTCCCAAAGGTGTTCATGCCTGCACGCTCAACTAAGGTGGGTGCCAATGAATCACATTTAAGCAGATTAATATGACATTGAACCTTGGAGTTTAAGAAGTTGCTTAGTAGCAGTGCTTTGGTTAGCCTGGATTTTTCCTTAATAGGTAAATGGGAACACCACCTTAGATAAAAATACTTTTATGTAAAAACCTACAGGATAGGCTCTCTTTCTGAAAATCAGCAAACCTGAAGATCATAAGAATAATGCAATAGCATGATTAATTTACTTACTTATTCTGCTTTGGTTTGCTCTTGAATACCATTTACAGCTTAATACATATAAAACCATCTGGTTATCACATCAAACCTACGGAAAAGGGAATAATTCATGCAAAATTACCATCCACACACCTTATGAGGATACTTGGCACATACCTTTCTTAACTTGAACTCGATCATCTCCATTTATTTCTGCTTCTGGATCAGCCATTGTCAGCCCTCTGGTAGTCCTTAGGCTTCAATCCTGGTGCAGCTTTAGATCTGCGGAATAAAGAAGTGTCATTAATTCAGTTTTGGCGCCTGTGAAAGACACTACCTTTTAGGTAATTAATGCTATGAAATAGCAACACTTAAAAATTATACAGACATATAAGTTAACAACTAGTCAAACCAGCAGTTCTTGTGTGCTTATGAGTTCCATAGAAGTTAAATAATATTACAGAAAATGAAACACATGTCAGCATTTAGACTTGCCAGGGTCCCAGTCAATTATCAAAACATCCTGTTCCAAGCCATAACAGCAAAACACATTAATATATAGTCATGTTAAAATGAAGCAAAGAGATCCTCAAACAAACTATAATTCAATGCTCCATTTAGTTTTTAACAATAACATAAAGCATGTTTAAGTCCAAGTAAACAATGACAACTCGTGCGCCATGAACGCCTAGATAACAAGCCACTAAGCAATTTTACATGAAATAAACAACAGAAACATAACAAAACTACATGAAATATGAATACAACATGTTCTCTGATGATTTCCGACAGATTTTGGGTGAAATTCAACTTACTTTCGATATTAAACACCCAATTCATCCAACACCAACAACGCCGCAAGACCGCCGGGACAGAGGGGGAGAGAGCACGGAACGCAATGGGAGTCGGAGGGAATATGGCGCCTTCGAAAAATGAGTGACGTCATATAATTTTGATTTCTACCAATGCTGTTCCTCGCCTTGGTCACGTGACGTCACGTGACCAGCTATTCACTGTGCCGTGCCGCCTCCCCTCTGACGTCACTCAGCCGCGCGCTCTTCACTTGCCCCGTGCCGCCTCCCCATGCAGCGGGCTAAGTTGACCTAGGTGGGGACTTGGATAGTCTATGCCCGATATCGGAGTAAATTCGCGCCCATCTGAAACCCCACTTCCCGTACACCCGGTGTTGCACATCCGTATGCGTATGCGTTATTTGCGGGATATAAGTCGGTCTCCTTCCATGGTTTTCGCTCCTTTGCTCTATTAACGAGTAACGATTGACCAAAATTTACCGGCTTGAGTCGCCCCTGGCACCAAGTCAAGATAGCGCAATGCCTTACCGATGATCTTGCAGCGATTAAAAGCTGGTCCACGAGCATGGGTCGGTCATCGGCAGTGCTCGTCTGACGCCGTTTAAATTGACCGGGCCAAGCCATGAGGGCGAGACGTCCGTCCGGCACGTTTCAGTGCATGTGATAAAGTCGTTTAACATCATATATCATCTTATTCCCCCCAGGGCTAGACCGAGCAATATCGTAATAAGAAAGACCCGTATATATTATCTTGTGAGACGTTCATCGCTCAGGCCCAGCATCGAACCGACTGAGACGGTGCAACATCTTGAGAGGCTGACATAAAAGTCGGCATATTTTATTTCTGATATCTAACGATAATTAAATGACGTTGACGGATCCTCCCACTTCAGCTTATATCCTGTCCCTCGTGATGCATTACGCCTTCAGTAGTTATCGGCCACGGCAGAGCCTCGGCGTTCCGTGTTCGCCGTGTTGTAGGCCCGGCGAACCGTCTATACCGACCGAGGCGCCGTCTAAACGTACGGACCCGACCGAGCGAAGCGGCCGGCCGCCACGGGCCGGGTTAGGAGGTCGACTTTCGCCGGCGGCCTCCTCTCCGGGTCTCTGCCTCTGCCTCTGCCTCTGCCTCCCTCCCTCTCTCTCCCTCTCTCTCTCTCTCTCTCTCTCTCTCTCTCTCCCTCTGCCTCCTTCTCTCTGTCTCTCTACCTCAATCCCGCTTTCTGTCATTCGCTTATCATTTGTTATTCACCGTTCACTTCGGTCGTCCCTAAATCAAATCAGTTGGTGCAGTTATATCAGTGCTATTGTACTTACCTACTCAAACACAGGTGTGCGAAAATGATCGTGAACCGCATAATTTATAAGGTCCCTACTATTAATCAAATCCGATAAACCGTCTAATATTAAGCGCTCTTACTTGCTGTCTTGATATGCTAAACAGTTAGGTAGATCAGATAGGTACTTAAAAACCGTTATTGTTAGAAAACGCTTACATCAAAGGTTTTAGGTTGTACGTAGGTTCTTCCAGGGCTGCGGAGTCGATGGCTTTCCGACTCCGACACCGACTCCGACTTCCAAAATCGACTCCGACACCGACTCCAGCCCCGACTCCGACTGCGAACGGTTTTATTAACATGAAAAATCCATAACATGATAAGCTCATAATGGATATGCTTTTATCTTGCCTGAAATGAGCCCTTGAGCGTTCCAAGGTTTCGCGTTGCAAATATGCATTAAAAATAATGTGGCACGGCTGAAAGTAGCCGGTCGCCACTTGAACCGCTAGCAGTGTATACCGCTAGTAGTTCACCTCTCGTTGTGAGAGGGAGTGAAAGGATTGTCAAGGCAGAGACTACCATCCGCCACCGTCGGCACCACACAACTCCAAGGGAGGAGGAGACTCCCGATGTGGGCCCGTGTCGGTAGCTCTGAGCTTGACTAGGATGAACGAGTTACCGATCGTGGATCGTACTGATTTATTGAACAAAAATTGGCACACTATATTTCTAGCAAGGCTACCTTGCATAGGTAGTTTCAGCGTCTAAATGGTAATATTACAAATTACAGTGACAGTTGGACAAAGAAAAATTACTCCACACCTGCGCTCCTAGATTACCCTCTTAAGGCGTGACAATACAACAGCTACGGTTACAAGAGATAACATATAAGGCAGAAAACAATCACAAGACATATGTGTCAATCAATCACTGACATCTGCGTGCATCAAAAGGATTTACTAGTTTACGACGCCGCCGCTGGGTTGCACACGCTACGGCGCCGTCGCTAGCAACGGAGCGCTGTTGCACCCGCTACAGTATACCCCCTCCCTAGACACGTCACTGGGGAACGGAGAGGAACGTGACGTGTCGGAACCGGAGAGGCGGGCGGACTTCTCTACCGGAGCGGGTACGGAGGGCAGGGCGGAGCGGAGGCGCCGCCGGCATGGCACCAGGCGGGCACGACGAGCCGGCCGCCGCCGCTGACTGACAGTCGGCAGGGGAGAGCGCAGGAGGACCGTCGGCAGGGGAGGGCGCAGGAGGTACAGGGACCGCAGTGGACGGAACGGACTCGATGGGTCGGCGTGGAGTCTTGGATGGGAGTAGGAGCTTAGGTCCCGAACCTGGCACCGCAGTGTTGGGGCCCGGCGCGTCACGGGGCGGGTCGCAATGATTCGGAGTAGCAGTCGGCGCATCAAGAAAGGCGGGTTTGACACGGTCCAGCGAGACAGTATCATTACGACCGTTACGGAACACGGTGACAGTCTTGGTTGAACGGCGCACCACGCGAAAGGGACCGTCATACGGCGGCGTCAGCGGTGGGCGAGAGGAGTCTCGCCGAATGAAAACATGCTGACAGTCCAGCAGCTCACTCGGCACAAACACAGGCACGGAGGACGGAGATCGAGGGGCCGCCGGTCGAACCCGGCGCATGGCCCGGCGCAGCTCGTCCACGTAGGACGCCGGATCCAGGTGCGTCGGACCTGACGCAGCAGAGACGAGTTCGCCCGGAAGGCGCAGAGGCTGTCCGTAGACGAGCTCCGCCGGCGTGCAGCCCAGGTCTTCCTTCAGCGCCGACCGGATGCCGAGAAGAGCCATGGGCAGGAGGTCGGTCCAGCGGACCGGCGGATCAGCCGCACGCAGTGCAGTCTTCAGCTGACGGTGGAAACGTTCCACCAGACCGTTGCTCTGCGGATGGTAACTGGTGGTGCGAATGCGGTGGCAGCCGAGGATCTGCGACAGGTGGTCCCACAGGTTGGACTCAAACTGTGCACCTCGGTCAGTAGTGACGCAGGACGGCACGCCGTAACGGGCCACCCATCCGGAGACGAACGCGCGGGCGACTGTCACTGCACGAATGTCCGGCAAGGGCAGCGCCTCTGCCCAGCGCGTGAACCGATCCACACAGGTGAGCAGGTACTGGTTACCGTCCGACGGGGGCAACGGACCCACGAGGTCGATGTGCACGTGGTCAAACCGTGCCGCCGGCAGCGGAAACGGTTGCACTGGGGTACGCGTGTGACGCTGCACTTTAGCCCGCTGACACTGGAGACACGCACGCGTCCACGTCGCGACGTCACGGTTCATACCGGGCCACACAAATCGCTGGGCGACGAGATGCTGGGTGCCACGGACGCCCGGGTGTGACAGGCTGTGCAGAAGGCGGAAGTAGGGTCGCCGGAGGTCCTCTGGCAGCAGTGGCCGAGGGCGACCTGTAGATTCGTCCACCAGCAGCGTTGAACCACTGGGCAGCTCGACGGAGCGCAGGCGGAGGGAGTGACGAGTGGCGACGAACGCCTGGAGCTCCCGATCGGTCTGCTGGGCCGTCGCCAGAGTCTCGAAGTCGTCCAGGGGTGGTCGAGGTTCGGAGAGCACGGTCGTGATCCGAGAGAGCGCGTCCGCCACTACGTTGTTCCGTCCGGGAACGTGACGGACATCAGTAGTAAACTGGCTGACGAAGTCCAGGTGACGAGTTTCGCGAGGAGCGTGACGATCGGAGCTGCACCCCACAGCCGACACCAGGGGTCGATGGTCTGTGAACAGGATGAACTCCCGGCCCTCGACACTGTGGCGGAAGTGCCGGATGGCGAGGTAGCAGGCCAGCAGCTCGCGCCCGAAAGTGCTGTAGCGCGTTTCGGCAGGCTTGAGCGTCTTGGAGAAGTAGGACAGCGGTGTCCAGCAGCCGTCCACGAACTGTTGTAGGACCGCGCCGACGCCGACATCCGAGGCATCCACTTGGATGCTGAGTGGTGCACCTGGCAGAGGGTGTGCCAGTCGGGTGGTGTCCGCCAGGCGCGCCTTGACGGCGGTGAAGGTCGACTGGGCCTCGTCAGTCCAACGGACGGGCCGAGCGCTCTTGGCGTTGCGTTGTGTGATCAGCCGGTGCAGAGGGCGAAGCAGGGCGGCGGCGTCGGGCATGAATCGGTGGTAAAAAGTTACCATTCCGATGAAACGCCGAAGGTCGCGCTCGGTGCGAGGCAGCGGGAAGTCCCGGACGGCTGCCACCCGGTCCGGCAGTGGGGCGATGCCGTCACAGTTGACGTCGTGTCCCAGAAAGTTCAGCCGCGGAACGCCGAAGACGCATTTGTGGACGTTCAGTACCACGCCGTACGCGTCCAGCTGTTGGATCACTTTTCGCACGTGTCCGATGTGCTCCGTCTCCGACGAGCTCGCGATCAGTATGTCATCGACATATGCGAAACAGTGGGTGCAGTCGCGCAAGACCTCGTCAATAAAGCGTTGGAAGGTCTGGCCGGCATTACGCAGGCCGAAGGGCATGCGGACCATTTCCCACAGGCCGAAGGGTGTGGTGATAGCGGTCTTCGGCACGTCGGACGGCTCCACGGGTATCTGGTTGTAGGCCCGGTGGAGGTCGAGTTTGGTGAAGATGGAGCAGCCGTGCAGCTGAGAGGCGAAGTCCTGGAGGTACGGGAGAGGGTACCGGTCGGGGACGGTGGCAGCGTTGAGAGCCCGGTAATCCCCGCACGGGCGCCACTCGCCAGGAGTGGCCTTCGGTTCCAGGTGGAGCGGCGCAGCCCAACTGCTCTGTGACGGGCGGATGACGCCGAGCCGGTAGAGCTTGTCGAACTCTCGGCGAGCGACAGCAAGCCGGTCAGGAGCGAGACGGCGAGGGCGTGACTTCCGGGGCGGGCCCGTGGTGACGATATGATGCGTCACCGAATGGCGTACCGGAAGCGGACGGGAGGTGTCGGCCGTGACGCCCGGGAACTCCGCCAGCATCGACTGGTAGGGCGAGGCAGTGGGTCGGAGACCCAAAGAGGACACTACTGCAGTGGTGCCCCTCGCTCTGACAGTTCCATTGTCCTCACACAGCGTGCACCTCCTCACATCCACCGAGAGGTGGTGATGGGCCAGAAAGTCGGCGCCGAGGATGGGCACGCCGACTTTGGCCACCACAAAACGCCACGGCAGAGGCGAGCCACCATCCAAAGTCACACAGTGGTCAAACAGACCGATGACCGGCACGCTGGAGCCATTGGCCGCGGTCAGTCGGGGAGCCTGTCCGGCGGCTAGCACTGCGCCTCGCGGGAGCGCGTGAGGAGGCAGGGCACTCACTTGGGCCCCAGTGTCTATCAAGAATCGGCAGTTCAATTTAGTATCGTGCACATAAAAGAGCGGCGCCAAGTCCGGTGTCGGGCCTGATGCGGGAGGCGCAGGCCGGCTCAGGCCTCCGAGTTTCCCGCCGGCGTCCACGCACACGGCCCAGTGCACTTTCGGGCCCGCGCTCCGTAGGTGCGGTGGTACCAGCAGTAATCCTCCCGCTCGTCGCGGGAGGGCGAGGACGACCGGGAGCCACGCCTAGGCGTTCCTGGCCGCGAGCGGCGACCAGCAACTGCCCCCTCCAACCGCCGATGGGAGGTGTCCAGCCGGCTGATGACGGCGGACAGGGAAGCGATGGCGGCAGCTAGATCTCCGTCCCCAGTCGTGGCCGCAGGAGCCGGGCTGGAGTTCGCACCGACGGCGGAGACGGCGCCAGTGGGCCGAGACGCCTCCAGGAAGCGGTCAGCCGCCTCTGCGAGCTCTGCCAGCGGAGTGGCCTCCGGCAGGAGCGAGAGAGCGGCGCGGGCGGACTGCGGCAGCCGCTGGAGGAACAGGGTCCTCAGTAGGCCACTGTCCACCGACGAGTCGCCAGCCGTTGAAAGTTGTCCTCTCATATCGCGAAGAAGCTGGGAAGGCGACCTGTCGCCGAGCTGTTGATGCCGGAGCAGGGCCTCGAGGCGGCTGGCACGGGACTGGGCGAGGCGCTGGCGGAGGGCAGTGCACAGCCCGTCGAAGTCTCCTGGTGCACTGACGATAACGTCCCGTACTTGGGCCGCCACGTTGGTAGGCAGATTTGCCACCAGCAGCTTGAACTTTGTGACGGGATCGGCAATGCCAGCCACGTCGAACGCACATTCAACTTGGAGCAGCCAGAGGTCCGCCTCGTCCGGGGCAAACGCCGGCAGTCTGAATGAAGCAAGCGGTCGCGCCCGCTCGTCCGATGCAGCCGTGGTGGCAGGAGTGTCGGCCGACGCAGCCTCCTGCGAGGTGTCGCCCTCCATCACGGGCATGGTGTACACGTCACCGTACCGCGCCGCGTCCCCAGACCGGCAACTCGTCTGCCCACTGCGCTCGCTGCGCTACCGTGGTCCGGGGGTTAACACTGTACACTGAGAGCCCGAGACGACGCACTGCTCATCCCGGACCTGGCCGCTGCCCACTACGCTCGCTGCGTTACAGAGGTCCGGGAAGGCATCACAATCCGCTGGCGTGTTGATGGCGTACCCCCATTCAGCGGCGAATCCTGCGTGCCGCGGCGGATCCTGCGTGCCTTGGGGGTCCGCACCGCGGCGAAAGAAGGTGGAAGTCCGGAAGTGGCCGTCTGGCAGGTGAGAAGGCCAGTAGTGGTCCGTACCACAGCGGGGCCAGTGAGACGGCCAGGAGTAAGTGTCTGGCAGGTGAGTCCAGAGTCGGGTGTCACCAATGTGGCACGGCTGAAAGTAGCCGGTCGCCACTTGAACCGCTAGCAGTGTATACCGCTAGTAGTTCACCTCTCGTTGTGAGAGGGAGTGAAAGGATTGTCAAGGCAGAGACTACCATCCGCCACCGTCGGCACCACACAACTCCAAGGGAGGAGGAGACTCCCGATGTGGGCCCGTGTCGGTAGCTCTGAGCTTGACTAGGATGAACGAGTTACCGATCGTGGATCGTACTGATTTATTGAACAAAAATTGGCACACTATATTTCTAGCAAGGCTACCTTGCATAGGTAGTTTCAGCGTCTAAATGGTAATATTACAAATTACAGTGACAGTTGGACAAAGAAAAATTACTCCACACCTGCGCTCCTAGATTACCCTCTTAAGGCGTGACAATACAACAGCTACGGTTACAAGAGATAACATATAAGGCAGAAAACAATCACAAGACATATGTGTCAATCAATCACTGACATCTGCGTGCATCAAAAGGATTTACTAGTTTACGACGCCGCCGCTGGGTTGCACACGCTACGGCGCCGTCGCTAGCAACGGAGCGCTGTTGCACCCGCTACAATAACATGCAGAATTAAAAAGCAGGTTCTGGGGGATTTGCCGTCTTCTGCTTCTTTCGCTGAAATTGAAGCGTTCGTCCAAAGCAGCAAAATGACCTCTTTTTTTTGGCAAAATATAATTTCGAGCGCAATATCATCAATCCAACAGGTGCAATGCATGACGTTGAGCCATGCAGCGTTAACTCCGACTCCGGAGTCGGAGTCGGTAAGATTTTGGCGACTCCAACTCCGACTCCTGGCAGAACTGCTGACTCCGACAGACTCCAACTGCGACTCTGACTCCGACTGCGCAGCCCTGGGTACTTCTACTAAAACTTCCGTATGCAGAGTACATGGATGTCTTTCTTAAATGTCTCATCGCCGGAGGGCCTGACATAAAGAATATTTTAGCGCGCACCTGAACACAGTGTTGATCATTGAGCAACGAGCAATAAACGAAAATACCGAGTGTTGTATAAATGAGATGTGAAGCGACTACTTGACGTTTAAAATTTCTTATATATTTAACATTTCAACGTCTAACAGACGAGTGACGACAGCCTGTTATATAGTGCAGCAGCTTTCTTCGTTTATTTGGGCATTCCCCATTCGGTACGAACGCGGAAAACGCCTACCTAAATCCCAACTTCACGCATTATTAATCATTCAAATGATGACAAATTTGCTTTCATTGCGAGGTCGTCTAAAGAAGTTACATGTCGATATTTGGATTCCTATCTTACACTGAACGCAAAAAGTAATTTTAACGAACTAAAAGTTATCTAAAATTTATAACACTGTAATTCCTTTTGTTTGCTCGTGGCGACCGATTTAATTATTTAGTTTATCCGGCACTGGAAACGGGTCAATTACAATGAATGCACATCGTGCCGCGAATGATGTGTTTAACGCGGTTAAACGTCAACATCGTGGACGTTCCTATGTTCAAATGCCTAACAAATTTTAAAACGCGTACTGGACGTTAAATAAACTCTGCAAGGGCCAGTTGTACAAGGTCTGGCAGAGTCTACTGGCCTTATGTCAGTTTGCCGTCACTCAAAGCATTTTCACATGTAAGACGTGGGTCGATAAAGATCCTCGTCTCCTCTGTGTAACAGGGCCTATTTTAACATGTTAACTGGGGGGGCAAATGCCCCCGCACTCAACAGAATTGCCCCCCCAGTTGTCGAGATTTGCCCACTTTAAAAATGAGCATAAAGGAACAGGGTAACAAACATACTACTGTGACTTGTTTTGCAATGGATGTCAAATGAGTCAGTCTGCAAGTAATGACCAGTGGTGGATCCAAGGGTGGGTCATATGGGTCATGACCCCCCCCCCCGCCCCCTTGGGTCCCGGGGACACCACAGGCCTGCCAGGAGCACCACCGGCTTGTCAGGGGCACCACAGGCCTGTTGGGAGCAGTGCTGGAAATGAGGCCACTTTCTGGTCCCGGCCTTTTATTCTCCGGGTGGGTGCCCCGTCTAGCGCTAAGCCTTTCGGGACCCGCTCAGAGCCGCGGTTGTTTTCGCCGCTCGGCCCTTTCGAGATGCAAAGTTGATAGTCACACGAAGTTTATTTGGGGCCTCTGAAAATGCGAATTCGAAATTAATCGATTTTATAAAACATTTTTTCTTTCATCTATACATTTAATACATTTGCATGCATACTGCATACTGCAGGCTTGTCAGGGGCACCACAGTTCTTTCAGATGCACTGGCGGCCTAGCACCATGGCACCATGTTTGGCCGGGATCGCGATTCGGCGTATGTCGCCTCGCACATGCATTCTGCCAGGGGCACCACAGACCTGCCAGGGGCCCTACCGGTCTCGCAGGAGCACCACATTGGACCTGTCAGGGGTACCACCACAGACCCGCCAGGGGCACCACAGGCCTGCCAGAGGCACCACAGGCCTAGCAAGGGCACCACGGACCTGTCAGCGACACCACGGGCCTGTCGGGGGCACCTCAGGCTTGTCAGGGCCAAGGGACACCATCAGTCCTTTCAGGGGCACCTAAGGCCTGTCAGGGGCACCAGAGGCCTAGCAGGGACACCACATGCCTGACAGGGGCACCTGCGGCCTCGCAGGGACACCTTGGACCTGTTAGTGGCACCACATGCATGTCGGGGACACTCCAGGCTTGTCAGGAGAACTACAGTCCTGTCAGGGCCCAGGGGCACCAGCGGCCTAGCAGAGGCACCATCGGCCTAGCAGGGACACCACCGGCCTCGCAAGGGCATCATGGGCCTGTCAGGGGCACCATGGGCCTGTCGTTAGAACCTCAGGCTTGTCAGGGGCACCACAGTTCTTTCAGATGCACTGGCGGCCTAGCACCATGGCACCATGTTTGGCCGGGATCGCGATTCGGCGTATGTCGCCTCGCATTAGCCGCGCGTTTGCAGTCTTTTCGTGGTTTCAAACGTTCAAACATGGGATATGATGTTGCTCCCATGCATTAGGGTGGGTGTCAAGGTCACCGGAAGGTCAGGTCAGGTCATTTACCTTTGATGACCTCGGTTCACATTTTCGAGTTTTATACGTTTCTAGGCTAGTTTTTTTTTTAGCTGAATTCGAATTTAGCAACCATTTGACCGTTTACGAAGTAGTTTTGGTGCCTTCGTAACATGTTACGAAACTGTCAGAGGCGGTTGCCACCTACTACGAATACCCGGCAAAACGCTTACTGGTTGACCTGACCTGAGCCTGACCTGACCCGACCTGGCCTGAATGCATGAAGACATCATGTATGATCATAACTAAGTACTAACATGATATTCGTGATCAGCTCCGCGAAAAAAAAACATAGCACCCACCCTTTACGACGCTCTAACAGGTTACGATTTTCCCGACGTTTGGGTCATTGACCTGACCTGGAAGGTTAACCGATGACCTAGGACCTTAAAATTGGGTATCATCGGCTTACTGTCATCACGGGCAGCACGGTCGTTTTTTTCCGCGAAGCTCTGGCTCGATCAGGGGCGAAACGGCAAGGGGGAGGGTCCAACGGACCCCCCATACCTATACGTTCGCAGCTGGAAAACACCAATACGGGCGAGGGTTAATGGATTATTAAAGACAATTTTCCAGGTTGCCCCCCCAGTCAAATTCCCTTAAAATAGGCTCTGCTGTGTAATAAGCGAAATTATTAACGAGTGATTGTGTAAATGTGACGAGTGAATTGACGAGCGAGGAAATAGACGTTTCCCAGTTTCATTAATGCATTGAGGGCGTTAAATTATTTACCAAACGTCGAGTAGCCGTTTCATTCATCCAAACATTTTTAAAACAATCGAAACGTAATTCATCATTCATTTGCTCATTTGTTTTTCATGTCATATAATTTATTCAATGAAATCATTTGTTGATTAACTTTACTATTTGTTCGTATCATTAGTTATTAATTTGCATTTGACAGAAGAGGTCTGAGTTTTATCATAACACCGTAATCAAGAATCAGCAAATTGACCATTTCTTTTAAAAGCATAATCCTAAGGCCATTTTGCATTGTTGACCTTGCATGACCTAACTAGTGTCAAGTTTCGGTTATCGGAGTTTTCCGTCGGTAACTCCGAACCAATTTGAGTTACCGAATTGGGGAATGCACCAGCTCTCAGAATGAACTGTATTGATTCGAATAATATGCTACATGACCTCCATCAACTAACTTCTTTTTAACCATGAGCGTCCTTGCCCTGACCTTGACCTAAGGTCAACATCCGAGTTGAGCTTCCCCAAACAAAAGCACGTCATTCGACGAGCCTGAAAATGACGAACATGACAGCCTTAAAATTGCAGCTCTGTGATCATTCATTTTTAGGTACGAGCTATTCACCAGCAGCAACCGGAAGATGTGCTGACCCAAGGGTCGGCGCTCTAGCAGCAAAGGTTTTTCACTCGTAGGTCATGCTGTAATTGTGAAAAATTAACCGTGTTCTACTATTTTCTAGCGAGCTGATTTAGTTGTCGCCGAATCCAAATGCGCAAAACTGATATATAACACTCAGTTGCGGTGATTTTTCTTGTGAAATGTCTTGC